CGCTGCGGGTCGGGGCCCCGCGGAGCGGCCCGCGCTGAGCCCCGCGGCCCGACCCGCAGCGGGAGCAGTTCGGCCGCTTCGCCCGCGTCTTCCCGCTCAAGGAGTGGGGTTACCAGCCCGAGCCCGCGCGCTACCGGGAGGCCGTCGGCTGGCTGGAGCTGGCGGCCGGGCTGCTGCTGGCCGTGGGGCCGCAGCTCCTGCAGGAGATCAGTAACTTCGTGCTCTCCGTCGTCATGATGGGTGAGAGCCCGGCGAGCGGCGCCGCCGACACGGGCCGGGGGTCCCCGCGGCGCCCTCGCCCACGCAGCCCCCGCTCCTCGCCCCAGGTGCCATCTACACCCTGCTGGTGCTCAAGGAGCCCCTGGCCATGTGCGCCCCGGCCACCGTCTGCCTCGGCCTCCTGCTGCTGCTCAACGTGCGCGGCCGCGCGGCCCCTGCCAAGCGCAAGTTCGAGTGACCCCCCGAAACGCGCCTGGGACGTCGCTTGGTGCAAGGCGCCTTGCGGCCCCTGCAGCCCGCAGCGGGGCTGGCTCTGTGGGCTGGGGGGCTGGCCCCGCTCTGGGGGACTCTTGCATTTTTTTAATAAAGCCTCTGTTTTTCAGCTGTTGCCTCCCCTGCTTTATCATGCCAGGAGTTCAGCCAGGTGCCTTTCCCGGCCGAGAGCACAACGAGGAGGTGCTGGGGGGTCCCTAGTGCCACTGGGCTTGGGAGACCGAGCACCGTGTCCCCAAGGAGCCACCACCCGGCCCTGCCAGCCTGGCCTGCAACCGGTTATGGACACGAAACACCAAGGCAGCTGCAGKGGGATCCTGGTGGCCCTGTCCAGGGGCCTGGGCTGCTGTGCCTCTGTTCCCGCTGCCTCCAGCTGCATGGCACGGAGGCCAATTCCTGCATTGATCCTTGGATCGCCCCCTCCTTTCCCCAGCTGCTGAGTGCTGAAACGACCCCACACGGTGCTCGTGCGGCCCTGGGCGTCCTGCGCTGCCGGCCCAGCCCTGGCGCCTCCGCTATGGGAGGAGTCGTTCCCAGGCCGCCCGYTGTGCCCGGACCCACTGGCACTGGGGTGGCTGAGGGGCACCTGAGCCCCCGTTCCCGCTGGTGGCAGCRAGGCAGCTCTGCAGGGCCTGAAAGGGGCCCTTGTTGGGAGGTCACACAGGAGCCGTTCACGGGGCAGGATGGCAGGGGCGGGAAGGGGCCTGGCCGTTGCCGCGGGGTCTTAGTGCAGCTCCGTGCTGGGATCCCCGGTTACGAATGCGCCCAGGTGCCTGGGCCGCCCCCGCTGCRCCCGGCTTAGCCCTTGGCTGCCTCCCTGTGCCCGTTAAAGGCTGCGGGACGGCAGCAGATGGCTCAGAGCAGCGAGGAGGCGAYACGGCCATGGAGCAGCAGGTAGGGACGAGCGGGCCCGGCTCCTGGAGCAGCCGAGCTGGGCGCTGCTTCCCCGCCGACCCCGCGCGCTTTGCAGAGATGAACGTGTCGGCGCCGGCGCGCAAGGCCCAGCGCATGCCCGGGCACCCGCTGCCATCGGTGCTGGTGCCCACCACATACTGCGTGGGGCTGCTGGTCTTCCTGCGCAGCAGCATGGGGACGAAGGCCACCTGCATCTGCCTCGTCAACCTCGTGCTGGCCAACGTCCTCTTCAACCTCACGCTGCCCCTCTGGATCCCCTGGGGGATCCAGATACCTGGCTGGTGGTGACTGGCGCCTCCTTGTAGCCGCCTGCGCTGCTGCTGCCGCTTCCCTGCATCACTGCAGCCGTGTGGAGAAGGGGCTGGGTGTCCCAAGGTGGGTTTGCCCCCAATGCGAGGGTTGACCTGCTGCCTGCAGAGGCTGCAGGGAAGCGAGGACTGGGGGGGATGCATTTGGGACACGGGAGCTGGGCCCTTGCATGGGAGCTGGGCCCCGTGTCCCGTTCCCAGGGGACCTGGCCTCATGCTGCCTCCTCCCTGCTCATGATTAAAATGAGCAAGGCGACTGTTGGCGAGTCTCTTTGATGGTGAGTCCCTTGGAGCCACGGAGCTGGGCTTGGCGAGCTGGGGGGCATAGGGAGTCCTGGGGGTCTCGTGCCCTCCCCAGCTCCAGCGCCGCTCCTGCTGCTCCCGCCCTTGCTCTGGAGCTGGAAGAGCAGGAGGAGGCGGCTGCGTGGGAGGGAGCTGGTGTTTTCCCGGCCCCGTCTCCTCTCTCCCGCCTCTGCAGCGAGGGACCGCGGGGGCCGCAGACACGCGGGAGCTTCTCGCCCRGGGGCACAGGCTCCACATGCTCCATCCCTTGGCTCCCTTAAAGGGAGCAGGAGCAMCTGCAGAAGAGGAGGAGGATGGGAGCAGGTGGGCCCAGAGCTGTTGGCCCCACGGAAAAGAGGTTTCCAGAGGGGAACCCACCTGCTCTGCGGTGCAAAGAGAGCTGGGTGCTGATGTGGTATGACACCAGGAGCAGGGGACCCGGCACAGCCGTGTCTTCGCTCCATCTGCAGTGGCTCCTCCTGCAGCCACCCAGGCTCCGCGGGGCTGCAGAGCGGCTGAACGTCCCCTCGCACCCGGTGGGTCCCGCGCAGGGGCTGCCACCATCAGCTCTTGGCCACACGGAGACGGTGCCTTCGGCCCTGGCGCTCCTGCCGGTGACGGATGGGGCCCCACTGGGCCCTGGGTGAAAAGGGAGACAAGAGSAGGTGCGAGGGCCACCCGTATCCCCCGGGGCTTGGCCCGCACCGCACGTCTCCCCGCTGCAGCGCAGAACGAGCCCTTAACGACGTTGCCCTCCCCGCACTCCCACCTGGCCGCAGCGGGGCAGAGCGCGGGGCAGCCCCGGCGCGACGCGTGTCCCCCCGCCCGGCTGAGCCCCGAGCAGCTCGTGACAGGCGGCGCTCGCCGCCCCCGCCCGCCGCGCGGGCAGGGGGTCCCGGTGCGGCGGGGCCGGGCCGGGAGGAGGCGGCAGAGCCGCAACGGAGCCATTTTGCATCCGCCGCCCGCCCGCGCTCCGCGGAGGCTCCGCCGCCTCTCGGCTGCGGGCGGC